GGGTGCTGTATGGCCTCCCATTGCTGCTGCCCTCCACCGCCACACTGTGGCTCCACACTCTGGTTTTGGCCCCGTGACTGCCCAAATGAGTGAAGTGTGCGGTGATTCTAAGATCGACGGCACTCATCTGCATGTCATACTGACTGACAGTATTATTTCTCTTCCCCAGCAGACTCCAAGGGCATTTAAATTAAAGGTACAGTGTTCTGCACTAATATAAAAGGCTCTCTGAAGCATAGAAACACCCTTTTTATAAGTTAAATTCGCAGCGAATATATTCGACTCGAATCAAATTTATTCCGCGAATTCGCCGAATCAGCCGAATCGAATTTTTGAATAATTCGCTCATCTCTAGTAACCACCTCTGAAAAGTTAATCCCCACAAAAAACATAAAATAGAAAAAAGTTACAGTTTGTATACAGTTGTGACCAAAATTATTCAACCCCCACTGAAATTGAGTGTTTTGGCCAGTTTGACATTGCTTTTGATCATTCAGTCATCTTGCTTACATTTACATTAAAGAGGCACTTGTAGGTCAGACAAATATAACATAACAGTTATAATGAAATAACCACAAATGTCTTTTCTGTGCTCACAGCATTATCAGTTTTATTCAACCCCCAAGTGACATTCAATCTTAGTACTTAGTACAGCATCCTTTTACAGTTATAACAGCTTTTAAACGTGAAGCATAGCTTGACACAAGTGTCTTGCAGCGATCTACGGGTATCTTCGCCCATTCTTCATGGGCAAAGGCCTCCAGTTCAGTCACATTCTTAGGCTTGCGCACTGCAACTGCTTTCTTTAAGTCCCACCAGAGGTTCTCAATCGGATTTAAGTCTGGTGACTGCGATGGCCACTCCAAAATGTTCCAGCCTTTCCTCTGCAACCATGCTCTAGTGGACTTGGAGGTATGCTTGGGATCATTGTCCTGTTGAAAGGTCCAACGTCTCCCAAGCCTCAGGTGTGTGACGGACTGCATCACGTTTCCATCCAATATCTCCTGGTACTGAAGAGAATTCATGGTACCTTGCACACGCTGAAGCTTCCCTGTACCTGCAGAAGCAAAACAGCCCCAAAGCATGATTGACCCTCCACCATGCTTCACAGTAGGCAAGGTGTTCTTTTCATCATAGGCCTTGTTCTTCCTCCTCCAAACATAGCGTTGATCCATGGGCCCAAACAGTTCTAATTTTGTTTCATCAGTCCACAGAACACTATCCCACAACTTTTGTGGTTTGTCCACATGGCTTTTGGCATACTGCAGTCGACTCTTCTTATTCTTTGGAGACAGCAAGGGGGTACGCCTGGGAGTTCTGGCACGGAGGCCTTCATTACGCAGTGTGCGTCTTATTGTCTGGGCTGAAACTTCTGTACCCACATCTGACAAATCTTTTCTCAGTTCCTCAGCAGTCACACGGGGACTTCTCTCCACTCTACGCTTCAGGTAGCGCACAGCAGTCGAAGTCAGCATCTTCTTTCTGCCACGACCAGGTAGCGTTTCAACAGTGCCCTTTGCCTTGAATTTGCGAATGATGCTTCCTAAGGTGTCTCTTGGTATGTTTAACATCTTTGCAATCTTCTTATAGCCATTGCCCTTCCTGTGAAGAGAAATCACCTCTTCTCTTGTCTTCCTGGACCATTCTCTTGCCTTCACCATGTTTGTAACCACACCAGTAAATGTCTAGAAGGAGCTGAGTATCACAGTCATTTTAAAGCTGCCTAATTGGTGCTTATTATGCTTGATTGCTGCTCGGTGACATCCACAGGTGTTTTCAATACCTGATGGAAAGCACCTGTATGAACCTCTGTTCTTCAGAGTGGTAGTCTTTAAGGGGTTGAATAATTGTGGCAATGAAGAAACCACATAAGAACCATTTACTACTGTATTACATAAACAATTGATGTCATTTTAGTTGCATTTGGGTAGTTACAACGTCCTTGTAGGATTTGATTCTGAATACAATTCCAAATGTACACTATAGTCCCTAAACCCCTTTACAGCATTGGGGGTTGAATAATTTTGGTCACAACTGTATGTGTATATATGTATTGTCCAATTTTTTTCATAATGTATAGATGAGACTGTATTGAGTAAATTGATGACAAATATGTCAAGCTTCAAAATTGTACTGGGTCAGAATATCAGCCTATGGCTACTTTCATACTGAAGAGTTTTTGAAGCGTTTTTGCATTAAAAAAAAGCACCTGAAAAGCTCAAGAAAAATGCTTCCCTATGGTTGTCTATGTACAGTTGCAAGAAAAAGTATGTGAACCCTTGGGATTACGTGGAGTTTTGCATGAATTGGGCATAAAAATGTGCTCTGAACGTCATCTAAGTCACAACAATAGAATAACACAGTCTGCTGAACATAATGCTACACAAACATTAGATGTTGCCATGGTTTAATTGCACATAACATGTAAACATTCACAGTGCAGGGAGGAAAAAGTATGTGAACCTTTGGACTTAATAACTGGTTGACCCTCCTTTGGCAGCAATAACCTCAACCAAACGTTTCCTGTAGTTGCAGATCAGACTTGCACAACGATCTGGAGTCATTTTGGACCACTCCTCTTCACAAAACTGTTTCAGTGTAGCAATATTCTTGGGATGTCTGGTGTGAATCGCTCTCTTAAGGTCATGCCACAGCATTTCAATCAGGTTGAGGTCAGGACTCTGACTGGGCCACTCCAGAAGGCGTATTCTGTGCTGTTGCAGCCATTGTTTTGTTGAATTACTTGTATGCTTTGGGTCATTGTCCTGTTGCATCACCCATCCTCTGCGGAGCTTCAGTTGGCGGACAGATGGTCTTACGTTTTCCTGCAAAATGTCTTGATAAACTCTGGAATTAATTTTCCCATCAATGACAACAATCCGTCCAGGCCCTGAGGCAACAAAGCAGCCCCAAACCATGATGCTCCCTCCGCCATGTTTTACAGTGGGGATGAGGTTTTGATGTTGGTGTGCTGTGCCTTTTTTTCTCCACACATAGTGTTGTGTGTTCTTCCCAAACAACTCAATCTTGGTTTCATCTGTCCACAGTATATTTTGCCAGTAGTGCTGTGGAACATCCAGGTGCTCTTTTGCAAACTTCAAACGTGCTGCAATATTCTTTTGGACAGCAATGGCTTCCTCCGTGGTGTCCTCCCATGTACTCCATTCTTGTTTAATGTTTTCTTTATTGTAGATGTGTCAACAAAAATGTTAGCATGTGCCAGAGATTTCTGTAGGTCTTTAGCTAACACTCTGGGATTCTTCTTTGCCTCATGCAGCATTCTGCGCTGTGCTCTTGCAGTCATTGTTACAGGACGACCACGCCTAGGGAGAGTAGCAACAGTGCTAAACTTTCTCCATTTGTAGACAGTCTGTCTTACCGTGGACACATGAACATCAAGGCTTTTGGAGATACTTTTGTAACCCTTTCCAGCTTCATGCAAGTCAACAATTCTTGATGGTAGGTCTTCTGAGAGCTCTTTTCTGCGAGGCATGGTTCACATCAGACAGTGCTTCTTGAAACCAGTAAACCCAAAACAGGTGTGTGTTTTTTAAGGGCAGGACAGCTGTCAGCAACACATCCAATATCATCACACTGATTGGAGTCAAGGTTGGCTCACTCCTGGCTCCAATTAGCTCTGGGAGAAGTCATTAAGCTAGGGCCTCACATACTTTTTCCTCCTTGCACTGTGAATGTTTACATGTTATGTGCAATTAAACCATGGCAACATCTAATGTTTGTGTAGTATTATGTTCAGCAGACTGTGTTCTTCTATTGTTGTGACTTAGATGACGTTCAGAGCACATTTTATGCCCAATTCATGCAAAATGCCACGTAATCCCAAGGGGTTCACATACTTTTTCTTGCAACTGTATGTCTATGTATGTTTTCACACTGGGGCATTGCGCTTCTGTTGCGGTGCAAAAAGTCTTGCTTGCAGCATCTTTGGAGCATGTTTGTTCTGTTAAAAAAAAACGCCCCAAAACACCTCTTCCCATTTAAATCAATAGAAAGTGCCTAAAAAGCATCTGAAAAACGGTTGAAAAGCACATGAACAATGCATTAAAAACGCCTCTGAGAAGAGTTTTTGGTGCAGTTTTTAAGTTGCGTGTCCTTTAAAACGTGGCAAAAATGCATATACATTCTTGATTTGTTTTGTGGCAGATCAGTGTGAAAGTAGCCTAACCAAAGAGAGTTTACAAAGTTCAGTTAGCCAATAAACTTATTTGCAAGGTTGACCTTCAAATTCAAGTCCACCATGAGTTTGACCCGAACTCAAGCTGTTCATGATTCTGTAAATATTGTTCTTTAAATTGCGATCAAGTATTTGCATTGAAGGACCAAAATTAGTGTGTCAGCAACAACTTCTGTTGCTATTTAGCTTCTAGCCCCCCCTTTTTTGAGTATTTTGGGGTTTTTTTTGCTTTATTTCTTTAACCACAAACCTACAGGGCACTTATACCCCCTTCCTGCCCAGGCCAATTTCCAGCTTTCAGCGCTGTCGCACTTTGAATGACAATTGCGCGGTCATGCAACACTGTACCCATATGACATTTTTATAATTTTTTTCTGACAGATAGAGCTTTATTTTGGTGCTATATAATCACCTCTGGGTTTTTTATTTTTTCATAAATAAACCAAAAACCACTGCAAATTTTGAAATAAAAACATTTTTTCTTAGTTTTTGTTATAAAAATTTTGTAAATAAGTGATTTTTCTCCTTCACTGATGTGTGCTAATGAGGCTGCAGTGATGGGCACTGATAGGCTGCACTGATGGACACTGATAGGCGGCACTGATGAGGAGGCACTGGTAGGTGGCACTGATGGGCATTGACAGGCATCACCGGTGGTCACTGAAAGGCAGCACTGATATATGACACTGATATATGGCACTGATAGGCGGCACTGATAGGTGGCACTGATATGCGGCACTGACTGGCACTGATAGGCGGCACTGACTGGCACTGTTAGGCGGCACTGACGGGCAGCACTGACGGGCACTGATAGGTGGCACTGATGCACACTGATAGGCGGCACTGACTGGCACTGATAGGTGGCACTGATTGGCAGCACTGATAGGTGGCACTGACTGGCATTGATAGGTGGCACTGACTGGCACTGATGGGTGACACTGAAAGGCAGCTCAGATGGGCACTGATATGTGGCATTGATGTGGCACTGATGGGCACTGAAATGTGGCACTGATGGGCACTGGCAGGTGGCACGGATGAGCACTGAGAGCTGGCACTGAAGGACACTGACAGGTGGCGCTTCTGGGGCTACACAGATCATCAGGGCACACTGATCATCAGTGCTCTGATGATCAGTGTACATGTCCCCTCCGAGGAATGCCAATTACCAGCTCTCCTCTCCTCATGAACTATCAGCGTGACAGCTCGTGGGGAGAGAAATGCCGATAACCGGCATTTCCCTGTTTACATGTGATCAGCTCTGTTTGGACACAGCTGATCACATGACCGAGCCGACATCTTCGGCTCTTTCCATGGATCGGTGATCCCATGTCCGAGGGACACAGCGCACTGCCGATCGCCGCGCTGCGTGCTCCGGGAGCCGCGCAAGCGTGGTTAGAATGGGAGGACATCATATGACGTCCTCCCAGAATGAGAGAACCACCTTGCGCCCATCATTGTACTATATGGCGGGCGAGAGGTGGTTAATATTGTCTGATAGTTACAAAAATATTTATTTATATTTTAGGTTTTAATTTTTAAGGGTTGTGTGGCAAGCGTACACCCAGAAACTGACGCAGTCCTCCATTTTGTTAAGAAATCTCCATGTTGTCCCTCATCCTCCCCCTTTCCTCTCTGTTAATCCACAGGGACATATGTGTCTTTGAAGGGTCACAGGCAGGCCAGGGCACAGCAGGGAACCCCAGAGCTATAAAACATTTTTGAGCAAAGGTGCCTGGTTGTCTGAGAGAGCTGTGCGATATAGCACCTCGTAAAAGCTAACGCAAGCCTTCCCAGGAGTTCAACAAGATTCCAAGGAAGCACGACCAGATAACACTTTTAAAAATCCATTTTTCCCCTATGTCTCATATCTTGGAATATGAGGGACTTACATAAAAACCAGGCATATCGTCAGATTGGCCTAGAGGAGACAAACAATTTGATAGGTCACTCTCCTTGGCTGGAATACATAGGAAAGCAGAAAAGTAGATCTCGTGAACCATTCAGTGTATAATTTCATATTTCATATCTAATCAATCCTCAGACATGTCTGCATAATAATCTACCTGCGGGTGGAGTGTCACTTGTGCAGATGGAAAGTTATGAGCCAAAATATGAACTAAAAGAGATTTTGGCTCTAGTTTAGGTCTACGCCCAGACCTTCACGCCCTAAACGGGGTATTGGTCCTTGACTTCAGAGACACCATCTGCTGGGGAACTATAAAATGAGCTGTCAGGCCTAAGAGAGTGAAGTTGAAGAATTCTCCCATTTAACATCAGAACCAACTTGGGAGACCCGTACCCTTTCGCTCTGAAACTTGATCTGCTAACCCAGGACTTTGACAAGTACTTTAACCCTCCAACTTCTTTCTGTTATCTCTTTGCTGTCCTATTGCTCTCTGTATATTTATATATATTGGTTACATCTTTTTTCTGTAAATATTTTTATTGCACCCTTTTGACCTTTTAGTAATAAATCTTTCCTTCTGAAAGTGTTGAACTGTTTCTATAGCTCTTTATTGCAATTTCTGAATTCTTGCCTCTAAAAAGAGAGCTACTGTGTTTGTTTAACCCTCTGTATAACCGGCCTGCTTTCTGAAAGTGTTGAACTGTTTCTAAAGCTCTTTAATGCAAACTATGCACCCCTGCCTCTGAAGAGCACTACTGTGTGTGTGTTTTAAACTTCGGTATATAGCTGCATGCGGTGACTGTGTTATACAGACGATTATCTCAACCATTATAGTGTTATTGCGGATATCGCCGAGTTTCCTCTTTCTCTGTACAAAAAAGGAGGTGGTGGCAGTGTGAAGGGTTAATTGCGTAACTAACCTGACCCAGTAACAAATGCTCCCAGACTGCAGGTACATCGATTGTGGTCCAATTAGCTGGAAAATTGTTGTGCAGGGTGCAGCTGGGCGTGACATTGTTACGCACGTGACATCGCGGTTTCAGATTGGCTAGTCCTTTGGTCACGAGTTTGGTGAGAAGGTCAGGGGTCTGACGTGCGATCATCACAGGTTGGTGTTTGGGGATCTAGGTATAATGTTTAGGGGGAACTTTATTTTATTTCTATATATTTTTGCTAGAGTCTTTTATTTATTTATTTATTTGGGTAAACTAGCTGACACACACAAATATGTTCTTTGTTAGCACCACATCACCACATACTAGTGCGGTACAGTTTAGTGCAGCCATTTTCAACCAGGATGTCCATGCACACTGGGGTGCCTTGATGTCTCTTTAGAGGTGCCTTGAAAAAATACCAAAAAATTGCCCAAAAATTGTACAAGCCTGACTTTGAGTTAGAGAAAGCCACGGGTTTTCATTGTGCACCATTACGAGCTTCTAGCCTTTGGCATCCCAACAACCAATGACATAATCGGTTGATAAGGAGGATGTTGGTTGTCTGAACAGCATCCTTGTTTGACCCTCCCCTGCTCCCCTCTATCACCACTGGAGTCCATTAGTGATGTATTCCCCTGTATTCAAAATGTCTGTGAGGCTTAAAAGCAAGGTACATTTGTATTTACTTTCTGGCAGTGGGTATGCTATACAGTCAGAGCATGTGGAGAGTGAGTTACTGTAGATTGAATAACCAGGACTTCCACACCCTCCTCCCGAGTGCAGAGCAGTGCATTTTCAACAGAAGCTGCTAATGTATCCTCTTCTTCCTCCTCCTCTATACCTTAAAGCAGTGATGGCGAACCCGTGGCACGCGTGCCACAGCCGGCACGCCGAGCCTTATCTGTGGGCACGCCAGGAGAATACCGTATTTTTCGCTCCATAAGACGCACTTTTTTTCCCTCAAAAAAGGGGGGAAAATGTCAGTGCGTCTTATGGAGCGAATATAGAGCGGCCGGTCCGGTATTTCCACCGCCGCCGTGTCAGAATACCGCGCCGGCCGCTCAGCTCTGCAGTGGGACCTTACCTGTTCCTCTATCCAGTGGCGCGCTGTCTTCCCGGCTTCTGTAGTGTGCGTGACAGCCGGGTCCCAAGTGCGCATGCGCAAGAAGCAGTGCTCTTTGTGAATGGTAAGGCGGTACCTGGGACACATGACAGATCCCAGAAGCCGCTGGACCAATCACAAAGCGCAGCGCTTCTCGCGCATGCGCACTGGGCATCCGGCTGTCCGACGAGCGCCCACACTACAGAAGCCGGGAAGACAGCGCGCGGCTGGATAAAGGAACAGGTAAGATAAAAAAAAAAAACTCTGCGGAAGTAAGAGCGGGTACCTGTCAAATTCAGGTACCTCCCCCCCCTCCCCAAAGGTCAGCAGTCATCTGTACTGTCCGCAGTCTCTGGTCATCCCTGTGCTTTCCGCAGTCTCTGGTCATCTCCTGTACTGTCCGCAGTCTCTGGTCATCTCCTGTACTGTGTCCGCAGTCTCTGGTCATCTCCTGTACTGTCCGCAGTCTCTGGTCATCCCTGTACTGTGTCCGCAGTCTCTGGTCATCTCCTGTACTGTGTCCGCAGTCTCTGGTCATCCCTGTACTGTGTCCGCAGTCTCTGGTCATCAGTCCTGTACTGTACTGTCCGCAGTCTCTGGTCATCTCCTGTACTGTGTCCGCAGTCTCTGGTCATCTCCTGTACTGTGTCCGCAGTCTCTGGTCATCTCCTGTACTGTCCGCAGTCTCTGGTCATCTCCTGTACTGTGTCCGCAGTCTCTGGTCATCTCCTGTACTGTCCGCAGTCTCTGGTCATCTCCTGTACTGTGTCCGCAGTCTCTGGTCATCCCTGTGCTTTCCGCAGTCTCTGGTCATCCCTGTACTGTCCACAGTCTCTGGTCATCCCTGTGCTTTCCGCAGTCTCTGGTCATCTCCTGTACTGTCCGCAGTCTCTGGTCATCTCCTGTACTGTCCGCAGTCTCTGGTCATCCCTGTACTGTTCGCAGTCTCTGGTCATCTCCTGTACTGTGTCCGCAGTCTCTGGTCATCTCCTGTACTGTCCGCAGTCTCTGGTCATCTCCTGTACTGTGTCCGCAGTCTCTGGTCATCCCTGTACTGTCCGCAGTCTCTGGTCATCCCTGTACTGTCCGCAGTCTCTGGTCATCCCTGTACTGTCCGCAGTCTCTGGTCATCCCTGTACTGTGTCCGCAGTCTCTGGTCATCCCTGTACTGTCCGCAGTCTCTGGTCATCCCTGTACTGTGTCCGCAGTCTCTGGTCATCCCTGTACTGTCCGCAGTCTCTGGTCATCCCTGTACTGTCCGCAGTCTCTGGTCATCCCTGTACTGTCCGCAGTCTCTGGTCATCCCTGTACTGTGTCCGCAGTCTCTGGTCATCCCTGTACTGTGTCCGCAGTCTCTTGGTCATCCCTGTACTGTGTCCGCAGTCTCTGGTCATCCCTGTACTGTCCGCAGTCTCTGGTCATCCCTGTACTGTTAATTAGTTTGCACTACTGTACGAGTTGTTTTTTCTAAACCAAAAGCTCGATATTCAGGTTTCATTGCAGTGTTGGCACTTTGAAAGAAATAAGTTGGTTGTGGGTTGCAGTTTGGCACTCGGGCTCAAAAAGGTTCGCCATCACTGCCTTAAAGGATAAGTCCACCTTTGGAACATGTTACATGTTCCACCCGTTTATAGGGTGGAATACAGTTGTGTCCAAAATTATTCAACCCCCACTGAAATTGAGTGTTTTGGCCAGTTTGACATTGCTTTTGATCATTCAGTCATCTTGCTTACATTTACATTAAAGAGGCACTTGTAGGTCAGACAAATATAACATAACAGTTATAATGAAATAACCACAAATGTCTTTTCTGTGCTCACAGCATTATCAGTTTTTATTCAACCCCCAAGTGACATTCAATCTTAGTACTTAGTCCAGCATCCTTTTACAGTTATAACAGCTTTTAAACGTGAAGCATAGCTTGACACAAGTGTCTTGCAGCGATCTACGGGTATCTTCGCCCATTCTTCATGGGCAAAGGCCTCCAGTTCAGTCACATTCTTAGGCTTGCGCACTGCAACTGCTTTCTTTAAGTCCCACCAGAGGTTCTCAATCGGATTTAAGTCTGGTGACTGCGATGGCCACTCCAAAATGTTCCAGCCTTTCCTCTGCAACCATGCTCTAGTGGACTTGGAGGTATGCTTGGGATCATTGTCCTGTTGAAAGGTCCAACGTCTCCCAAGCCTCAGGTGTGTGACGGACTGCATCACGTTTCCATCCAATATCTCCTGGTACTGAAGAGAATTCATGGTACCTTGCACACGCTGAAGCTTCCCTGTACCTGCAGAAGCAAAACAGCCCCAAAGCATGATTGACCCTCCACCATGCTTCACAGTAGGCAAGGTGTTCTTTTCATCATAGGCCTTGTGTTCTTCCTCCTCCAAACATAGCGTTGATCCATGGGCCCAAACAGTTCTAATTTTGTTTCAT